CTTGTGGACTGATTAGCTCAGGAAGTGTTTTGAAGGTGGAACTGAGACCAGGCGAATGACCAAATGATCGGACGCTTAACCAACTAACCGACCAACTCCATGGAACTGAGCCCTTCTTGACAAGCTGCCAGTAGTGCAGCTACTCAGGAATTTCCCAACGTCCTATGCAACCCGAAGGTTCGTTACCGTGTTCCACTGGTTCCTATTCTGAGCCAGATCATTCCAGTCCATACCACCCAATCCTACATCACTCCATTTTTATCATCCCACCTACATCTACGTCTTCTTAGGGGTCTCTTTCCCACTGGCTTTCCCACCAATATCCTATATGCCTTCTTCTTCTTCTTCTTCTTCTTCTTCTCCCCATTCGTGCTGTATGCCCTGTCCATCTTATTCTCCTTGACTTGATCATTCTAATTATACTTGGAGAAGAGTACAAATTAGGCGCTCCTCATTATGCAGTTTTCTCCAACCTCCTGTCACTTCATCCCTCTTCATTCCAAACAGTCTCCTCAACACCCTTAGTTTGTGTTCCTCTCTTAAAGTCAGAGAACAAGCTTCACACCCATACAGAACCACAGGCAAAATTATAATTTTATATATTTTAATTTTTATGTTTCTAGACAGCAGACAAGAAATCAAAAGATTATGGACTGAACGGTAGCAAGCATTACCAATCTCCTCTTAATTTCCTCGTGAATCAAATATTGATTTGTTACTGTCGTTCCCAAATATCCAACTGATTTGAATATATAGACAGTCAGTAGGACTTCTTGGACGGGGGATTAGCCCGTAGCAAGGTCGCTAGCTGCACAGGACAACATAAACACAGAATAAACGCACACAGACATCCATACCTTCAATGGGATTCGAACTCACGATCCCAGTGTTCGAGCGGGCCATAGACCACGCGGCCACTGTGGTCCGCAACTAGACAACTAACCAACCCAAATAACTACAAAGTGACCCTCTGAGCAAGAGGAAACCCGGAAAAACCAATCACTCAACCAAGTAACGATCTACATTCTTAAGGCTTTTGACGGTGAAGTACATACTCTACATTGCTGGGTTTTTGGACTTTGTCCATCGTCCGGTATTGTAAAGAACACGACGTTTCGGAAGTTTAGAATATCGGACAACGTACAAAGCCCACAAATTCAGTAATATCAAATAACCATTTAACCTATCAATAAACCAGTCGATTCAACCAAGTATCAGATTAATCAAGAGTTTTCGAAGCAGAGAAACGACTGTCGACAGTTTAATGCATTCCTTTCTAGCGGTTTGCTTATATTCGTCTTCTGGCAATGTGGTCTGTCATATAAAGCGTTGCTATTGGTCTCTAGTCAAGGTGAGTGATTCAGACAACCTCTGGGAACTGCAGTTAACTAATTATACAGTCTTTCTAACGACAACTGGCAGCTTACTGTCGCCGACGTCTCCGCTCTACTTTGTATTAATGCAGTTTTAATGACATACCGAGTGCGTTTTTACAACACGTCATTGCTTGCATGCCTGTAACATCTGTCATACGTGATTCTAGGGAAACAGATGTTCTGAATCTTAATCCATAGTTAATATCTGTGTATAAAAGGTAAACAATTAAAGTTGTCCCTGTGCGTAATTAATTAAGCACCAAGCCATGGAGACGGATGTGGGGGTGGAGATATAGCTCCACCACTCTTGACCTCGGTACTAGATGGAGGTGAGTTGTCAGCTTCACGCCCGTGCCGCTTTACCTCCGGGGAAGAAAGCCCTCGGTACCCATTGGATACGAGGCTGGGTTGGTCTGGACACTGTGCCGGGAATCGAACCCGTAGCCCGTCACTATGCCGACTGAGCTATCCTGTGAGACGTAAAACTGGTGTAATGAGTACTTGATGCAATGTCGCTGATTTCGAGCTTCAGTGAGTGCGGATGTTGGTTCCGCCGGCAGAGG